ATTAGCAAATGAATTACGAATTAATCCATTGTAAACATCGTTATAAGTCTTTACGTAAATATTGTTTGAATCTTCAAGATTCTAATTATGTAAAATTGTAGAATGATCAAAATATATACTTAAATACAATAATGATAAAAAAAAATCATCTACATTAAAATCAAATCCGAAAGCAGTTTTTCCAAGTAAACCTGTAAAATTTTGTTAAAATATTTTGATGAATACAATAATCATACAGTATAAAATAGAATGACTTGATTAATCTTTATTACCTTTGCATTAGATCCATAACTTCAATAGGCTTATTATCAATACGCTTTAAAATATTCATTAACTTTACTCCAGTTTCAACAAAAAGGTGTATGGGTAAGGCTTTGAATGCAGGTTTACACGCACGCCTAAATAAAGCCACTGTGATTAGTAATTTCAAGAATAATAGAAACAAATTTGTGTAATACAGATCAATTACGTGCCTATATCTTTTCCGAATTTAAAAAGATGAATAAAATTAGATATTGAAATTATAAAATAAATTATATATTTATATATATATATGTACTTACATCACCATTTGAGTGAATAACATTAACACCGAGATGTCGTGAAAATACAGGTGAATATTCTTTAAGATCCAATTTCAGATTTGTATCTTTGATTAGAACCTAGAATAATCTGATCAGACAAAATATTAGAATCAATTTTATACAACATATATATAATAAAGTTTACCTTTACGACACCAGTTTTCTCAAAAATATTCCTGAAAACCTAAATATGTTGTCGGTCCACCTCGAATAAATTAAAGGAAGAGATAGTGTGGACATCTTTAAGACCATCCAGGGTCCTAGCGTTTAGAGGTTTATAAACTATGTACAGAATAATAGCAACCGCTATAAAGATCAATAAAGACATTTTTTGTTATATTTTTGCTAACGAAAAATCCAATTTGAAGCGCTCATTTTATAAAGTAGATTAAGCGTTTACACCATCATTTATCCTGTTTCCTTAAAGATAATAATTGCCTTGCATACGTATTTAATTTTTCCCTATTATAGTATGAGGAAATGATTTTCTTATTTTCTATATTAAGGGCTGACTTACAGTATATGAAACTCCTAGTGTATGAAATAGTTGTGACTAAATTACTTTGAAACGTAATTTGCTTGTAATTCGTTTGCTAAATTCTAAGATAAATTTAATCTTTGACAAGAATCTCGGATACATTGAGAAATCTAGTAACTAACAAGTTTTCTCGTATAATGCCTCAAAATGATAATTCTTCAAAACGCAAATATAACAAATTTAATATGAGATATTGTATAACGATAATAGCCTCTCACTAGATCAACAACGATAAACTTAAATTAAATATTTAATCTATAAATTTATGAGAATTTAAATAATACTATACAGTACTCAGATCCAGAAGAACATGATGTTACATAATTGAAGTATATTACAATCGTTTACCATCGTATATAGAGCTGGGTATTTTTCGCTAGTGATGGGACTAAAGATGCTAAAAATTCAACTGTCACACGACGTAATCTATTAAAAAATTTTGATTCTTCATAAATTATTGAATGCGGCAATTATATATCACCTTTTTTTAACATCGTTAGTCCCAGCATTAATTTCACCATCTATCTATCTATCTATCTATCTATATAAACTGTCGCTATTATTTTAATAAGTAATAAAAGTGTTGATATTAATCAAGCAATAGAGCTGATGAATAAATATACAAATTCATAATGACTCAAGCACAAAATTCATATTTACATTAATTTTTATCGCTGTTTGCAAAAATTTGATCAAATTTCACACCTATACGACCACTTGAACAATCACCTGATTGTTGTCCGGTTGCGCACTTAGCAGAAACTTGGATTTTTGCCATTTATGATTATCATATAATAGTTATAAAACTATTATATAATAAAAATATGATAAAAATATTTTAATAAAAAAATATAATAAATATATGATAAACATATATTAAA